CCCCAAAACCCCAAAACCCCAAAACCCCAAAACCCCAAAACCCCAAAACCCCTTGGGAAATTTGCTGGTTGAATTATAAATATTTGTTAATTAATGGAAGGACTTCTGACAAAGAAATTGCTACTAAACGAGAACCTCTGTTCAAGCATACTGCCTTATTACGGCAAGAGGCTGCAATGAGCAGAGTTATTTGGACGACTGTGACAAGAGACAAAGATGTTCTGGGAGGATAATATCTTTATATTCCTGTTCTCGATACTGAGAGACCAGAGATTTGAGTCAGATCTGTATCTTAATGACCTATTTGATGAGAGTTTTTATAAATTTTTGAAGAAGAATAAGTACCTGATGCTGTACTGAAGGCTTCATTGTAAAGCACAAATTGCTGACAACTATAAATGGCTTCTTGAGCTTATTAGTTTTGCTAAAGAAGTTGAAGAAGATCTTAACTCGAAATATAAAAAGAGTCTTAAAGAAGAAAGTAAAGAAACAGTGGGCCATAGGCCATTTAGGGCTAATTTTGCACAAATAGAATGATTTGTCACTCTTAAATCAGCTGGAACTTACTATGAATTTGTGCAAAGCTATTTAGCTAATGGCTATGATTTTGATCTTATCAACACCACTCTAAATATTATCTCAATGCATCAAGGAAACGCTAAATAAAGAATTACCTGAGGAAATTTCCTATCTGGAAAACATAGAACATAGTAGATACAAGATAAGCTTAAATGAGATAAAAGAGTTCAAGCAAGAAGCCAGAGAGGTTGAAAACTCTTATAAATTTAAACAGCTGAGAGTCACCATCAAAGATTTCAACGAGGAGGAGGAAGAACTTATTGAAATTCTTGAATATACCAGGAAAATGTTTGACAATGCAGAAGAAATCACATGGATCATTCACCATCTGTACATTTTAGAATCTATTCGTCATTTTATCACAGATTTTGAAAGTAAAACAATACATTTCAAATTTCAGCATGAGAAGGTCCCAGTCTATCGCAGTGAGGCATTTGAATTAGAGATTGAAGAAAAAGAGCAATTTGCTGTTAAACTTTATGATCCAATTTATGACCGTGCATACAGAATAAAAACCAACAAGCTCTCCTTAAAAGCTCATCTTCCGCTTATCTTTTCCCAAGATGATCATGCAGTTATACCAGTATCATCTGACTTGAGCTTCACAAACCCAAGCATAGAAGAAGCTAAATTTATGATTGATGATATGCCTGCTTTATCTCTCTATAAAATCTCTTCTCATTTCACAGACAATGTCTGAATTGTTGTAAAAGCTCCTCAACTTTTGGCCTCACAAAATTATTTTACCACAAACTGTCAGCTACTTAGTTGGAAGATAAGCTCTTTATATTGTTGAGGTTTGGATGAGATAATGGGTATCAAAAATGATCCGAAAGCAATCTTGCTCTTCAGTAAGTCTCGATTCTCATTTAAAATTACTATTTGCTCTACTTCAGCCATTGTTTAGTCGAGATCTTTAACAAAGGTATAGAACCTGAGCACATAGCTGAAAAGCCGAGATTTAATAAATTATTTTTATATCGTTTCGGCTCAGAACCAGAACCAAAATCAGAACCTATAAGTATAAGTGCCACATTAGACTATTGAAAGGAAAACAAAATCCCAATCTCCTTGAGATGTCTTTGGACTCCCCCAGAAGACAAACTAAGCGTGATTAGGAAAGCTTTTGAGTGAAGGATTACTGAGTTTTCATATGGTCTATCATTCTCCGACCTTCAAACCTCTAGAGAGCCTGCACCTTCAGCTGAATATAGTGGCACATCGCAACATCAAGAGATGCTGCAAAGCTTTATTGATGTATTATGTGAAAGTCTTAGTAAAAACAACACACTTTTGAGGTTAGAATTTGCAACTGATTTTAAAATAAAAACCTACAAGGTAACCAAGATGTCCCAATATGAACAAATCTTCAACAGTTTGGAGAACAATTATACAATTAGAGAAATCAACCTTGAGGGTGGAATCAAGACTGATCATTATATTGACCAGATGGCTTTAGAGTTTATGAAGAAACGTCCAGGTGTAGATATAATGCTCTATTCAGATCATCCAGCTTTGAGCAATCAGAGGAAAGCTCTGCTGAAGAATCTTTAATCAAGATGTAATTCAACCAATAAACTTTTGGTCGGGGTTTTGGGGTTTTGGGGTTTTGGGGTTTTGGGG